GCTGGTTGGCTCGAAAATTGTGCGCATTTCCTGCGATATCAGTTGACGCGTTGCATTTCATTGCATTTGCCGCAATTACAATGCAAATTTACTGAAAGAAAGACAGAGTAAGTGAGAGAGAAAGAGAAAGAGAGGGAAATGCAGATAGCCAGAAAAGGAGACCGAGTGAGAGCTACATTGATTTGCTGTCTGTTTGACAAAACCACACAATATTTAATTACATATCAAAATGCATTGTATGCTTAAATGGAATCAGCTCGAACCATGCACACACATACACATACACCTGTAACACCTGCTGTTATCGCTATATCCTAACGGTTTCATAGATAAACCGCACGCAGAGTCTAGCACAAAATGTTGTATTATGACCAAACATGCAAAACAACCTCATTACCAGAGCTCACCCACACACACACACACACACATGACTACGGTACGCCATTGTTAACACACACACACAGAGGTGCACCTATCCACCTGATAGTAGTCTCTCCTTGTGTATGTGTGTGTGTGTGTGTGTGTGAGTGTACGGCTCTTTTCGTTGCTAACGAAATTATTGACAGCGTCGAGCGCGAACCTGTAAAAATGTACTCAAACCTCGAGCCTTACATACGACCACAAACAGTGAACAACAAGTTGATGTGGTTACTGTGCAGCAAGACGGCTTTCAAATGTCCTAACTTTCATATTGATAAAAACTGAAAATATATATGTGAAAATAGCGAAATAGGAATAGCAAGTTGATATAAAATTTAAATTAATATTTTGTCTTGTTTCTTCTGTTACTTGATTTTCTGATAGGTTTGCTGGCTTATGTAGCTAATTTTCCTGAGTTTCTGCTCTTCATTCTCATCAAAAGCTCTCTAAAAATTATGATTCGCCTCATAATTGTAGTCTCTAAATGGTCCGTTTATTGCTCCCATTTATGATTTCCCTATAGGTACGCTTTATCCTCATCATTCTCAATATGATAAATTCGTTGCTTTTCATATGGTTGCAGGCTTGCAGAAGGCATCTGTTTGGCTAGATTTCGTATTGCCTCATAATATTTAACCTTTAATTTCTCGGTTTGGCTTGGTCCTGCTTGGTTTAGTTTGGTTGTTCGAGTATTTCTTAAGACATCTAGATTAGTTTCGTAATAATAGTTAAGCTAACAACTGGGTGCCGCTTAGTTCAGCTCAGTTGAACTGGGTTCATCTCGGCTAAGCTTGGTTCAGCTGGGGTTAGTTCAGCTTGGACTAGCTCTATTAGGGTTGGTCGAGCTAATTTAAGCTTTGATTAATTACGCTTAAATCGCCTTCGCCTGGGTTCAAGCTGATTCAGTTTGGGGATCCAAGTTTTTCCTATGCTCTTCACAGCAAATGCGTAATCGATTTTTTTTTTTTTTTGGTGGCCATGGTCTCGGCCAAGGACGGTTTGTGCATCGGTCAAGTATTTTATAATGACATTTAAAGATATCGATTCCACATTTTTTCTGGCCGAACCTTAAATAGCTTTATCTGCATTCATTCCATATCAACGATATACAGATTCAGCTGCAATATAATATATGATATTCGCAATAACCACGACACTGACTGACAATATTATATGCTCAGCAAGCAAGTGTGCTTGGATGCCGCCATCATCTATCTAATGAATGCAAATATAGCTACAATAAGTGTTATTACGAGCACACACACGCACACACATGCATATACACGTAGGTATATATGTGTGTGTTGGTGCCTGAGTGTGTTTATATATCAACTTACATGCGGGCAAAGTGAAATGGCGAAATTAATTTTCATGTTGCGCTACCTAAAAATAACGCGGCTTCATTAACGTCAGCAAAATGGTTGGGGCGAGACTCTTTGCCGCCTCCTCAAATTGAGCCTGGGCAAAAGGTGAATGTAAAGGTAAATGTAGAGGCAAGGCCATCATCATGTTTGGTCTATATTTATGCATCGTTCAGCTCACCTCTGCTCATTAGAAGCGTTAGATAATGAGAAGTAGTTCCGATGGCGTTCAGCTTGAACTCGGGTAACTGAGAGCCAAGTCTACTTGACGAAAGCTAATCGAATTAGATGGGGATTCACACCTTTTGTAAATGCTGCTTAAGTGTTTTATAAGCGATAATGGGTATGCCAAGGCAGCTACATGCTATATAGTAGCTGAGAAGCAATTCAGTTAATCTATAATAAAGCGGGGCCAAAAGGACTCTTGCTCTCATATACTTAAAATGATATTAAATTATACATTTTTATATCGCAATCAGCTGCATCCCAATCCATTAAACGTCCAAATCTAGTAACCATTGCGTTGTGTCCCTCAGTGCCAGCATTGTCTCGGATTGCTGAACTGGACAGCGCGTCGAGTAATCTGGGATATGTTTCGGTGTCCGACATGCGGCTGCGTGTGTTGGGCACGTGTTTGAGGTATGTCGAGCATGGGCATGTTTATTACTCCAGATTCGTGAGCATGGACAACGGACAGCCCAAAGGTCGGAGGGGCGGACAAACATTCATGTCGGCCCCTTGGGGTGTGACAGGTGAAATGCGTTTGAGTCAGACAGGCAAATGGATGCAACAGATGCAGCGACATTTATGAGATGAGTGTAGAAGGAAACAGTTTATAGGAGAGAGAGAGAGAGAGAGAGAGAGAGAAGATGGAGAAAGAGGGGAGAGAGGGAGGTAAAATCAGAGAAAGGATGAGAGAGAAGGGATAAAGAGGGAAAGAGAAAGAGAGAGACAAACAGACTGAAGGAAAGGGAGAGTGAAAGAGTAAAAGAGAGAAAAATAGAGAGAGAGAGAGAGAAGAAAAATAAAGATAGAAAAAGATAGAGATTGACTGAGAGAGAGAGAGAGAGAGAGAGAGAATGATAACAAAAAGTGAGAGAAACAGAGTGAGAGATACAGAGAGAGAGATAGAGAGAGAGTTAGAGGGAAAGAGAGAGAGAGAGAAAATTAGAGATTTAGAGTTAGAGGGGAGAGAGAGAGAGAGAGAGAGAGTGATAGAAAGAGGGAATAAGAAGGACAGAAAAGTGAAGGAGCGAGTGATGGAGTAAGAGAGACAGATATATAGAGAGTATGTGCGAAATAGAAAGAGAGAGAGAGAGAGAGAGGGAAAAAACTGGAAGGCAGAGAGTGAGTGTGAGAAGCAATGAGGGAGAGATGGTATGTAAATATTTTTTTCTCTTGATGAACCAGCTCAAGAAGCTCCGTGCTTTTGTCTGTCTGAAAAGAAAAAAAAACACACACATTTTTAATTAGGCTTTTAGAATTTTTATATGTTGTCCAGAGTTGATTTAAGCACAGCATGTAAATTAACCACAGAAATTAAGCAGGAACAAGCAAAATGCTGAGCCTCTGTTAAGATAAATAGACTTGTTAACGCACAAAGAAACGGTACACAAAACGGTTAACTTTGAGATGATTCCAAATACTCAAGTTTCGTCAGTTTTCACAAAAATGAAAATTGGTGACAAGCCAAACCAAAGCGAGCGCTTACAATATGCAGTACTTCGGGTTCGTTCTCGGAGCCAATGCGATTAGATAAATGAAAATGCATTCGAATAAGGCCAGAAGCGTTGCCAGCTGAGCTGACTGGCTGTGCAAGTAATGGGCCACTCGTGTTGGCTTTCGAGTGCATTCAAATGCGTACTCATCAAATCAAAAGCCAAAGTGTCAGCTCCCCAATTGCCACTGTAACTGTGCTGGTGAACTCCTTGTTAAACTTTTGGGACCTGAACTGGAGCTGCAGCCAAAGCCGAAGCTAAAGCCATAGCTGCGACTGGACACTCATAAAAAGTTGCCGTTGCCGTTGCCGTTGCCGTTGCCGTTGCCGTTGCCATTGCTGAAAGGACTAATAACAGGCAGCGTTTAAGGAGCTGAGCTTTCATTTAATGCAATTGCTATTAAGTTCACTTGACGACACAACCAAAAACTCTGCCCTGGAGTCAGTTCCAGTTCCAGTGCAAAGCCCCAATGTTGCCTCTCTCTGTGTGTGTGTGTGTGTGTGTGTGTGTGGGGGAGGGAAAGCAGCAGGTCACCGGCTGCTATTTATTTTCATTTTCGAGCATTTATGGTTTTATCTCTTACGCTCCCACGCACCACTTCCGACGTTCTGTCAGACTATAGATACTCTGTACTATATGCAACTGTGCGGGCATGTGAATTTTACTAAATGTGATGAGACAGCAAAAGTTAGTAAATATTGTTAAATCTGATAATTAATCAATAAATTAGCAATGAATTTATGTGCAAAAAAGCCATAAAACTCTATAAATTAGGATGAGAAACTTTAGTATGTCAAAATTGATCGATAACATTGATTTAGTATTTAATGTAAATTAGTTGAAGATTAATATGTTATAATATTAATTATTAGCGAGAATATATAAAATAAGAAATCTATCGATTTAGAATGAGAAGGTTTGCTGAAGAATATAAAGACGAGATACAGAAATGCTCATAAAATGATCGATTAATCGATTAAAATGTAACATATCGATTAATAATTTTTTACGAGGCTTAGCTTACGAGGTTTGTGTTCCAGAAAATAAGGGCTATTCACAAAAGACTCATAAATGTGCAAACGTTCACATATTAATATCTCCAGGATATCTGCGAGCTGTACATCTAACCTGGAATTATCTAAACTTTATATTAATAATTTATAAATACTTTTATGACTAAGAAAAACAAGAATAAATGAGTGAAAGAATTGACTATATTAATTTTTTATTTAATTTAATTTCAAACTTTCCTATGGGGTATCATTCGTCGAGCACTTCACATGAATATATTCAGGCACATACCAATGGCATACCAATTTTATTCCCAACTAAACTATATAAATTATTTCCAACGGTATATCCTGTTATTACAGGGTATTCACTAGTTAGGCGGCTTATACATTGTAGTAGTCTCCTTTGCCCACATCTTGCCCTTGCGAATCTCTCTATCTGTGAGCTATACTCGACTCATGCTGACACTTTGTCGTTTTTATCGTTTCAGCGTTAATTCGGTTAAGCACTTAAAGCGACGTCAACGGCTGGCCAAAAAATAAGAAAGAAACAAAGAAGGCGAAGAGGTAGGCGGGGCCCATGTGGCCCACAAGCGGCCGATGCGACGTCAATGCGTTGACTACAACAGCAAAAGCAACAACAACAACAGCAGCAACAACTTCAATAAGAAAAGCCAAGTCAAGTAACAAACGAGAACAAATTGCTTGGCCAAGTTACGTGCATAGTTCAATTGAAGGTGAAATCCACTAGCTAAAGCCCTGCGAGTAACAGAGAGGGAGAGTGAATAAGTGAGTGAGTGAGTGAGTGAGTGAGAGAGAGAGAGGAGAGTGTGTGAACGAGAGTGAAGCCTCGGCCAGTACCCGCATCAACATGTCCAGCAGCCATTCGGGCACAATTGGCCGTAAACGCGTTGGCAGCGGCAGCGCCATCGGCAGCGAATTTTACTATGGCAGCAGCATAAGTGGCTCGAACCCCGGCGGCGGTGGCATTAGCAGCTCGAACCCCAACGGAGAGCAACAGCAGCTGAGGCGTCAACGTTCAGCCGAATGGCATAGCCATCGACATGGACACGGCTATGGCAGCAGCAGCGAGGACGAATATCAAAATACCGCCCAGGCAACGGCCTTTGATACGCAGCTGTTGGCTCAGCTGCTGCTGCAGAGTCAGCAATTGGCAAGTGAGTAAACCACATGCACGCACACACACACACACACACACACACACACACACACACACACTTATATGGCCAGAGTCACAGTTACTGGCATAGAGCTACATCGTGGCTAAGTAAGCGATTTATAAGTCGGTCGAGCCAACTAAATATTCATTATTTTATTTAATTGAATTATTCAGTAGTCATCGAATCTAATCCGCAAATGCCCAACAGAACTTGACCCAAGGTCAAGCCAAAAGGCACTCGATGATCGTACGGACTTGACTATACCCTGTGCAGGACCTCAACTTGGGTTAGATCATCATTCCGCTCTACATTTCCAACCCACAGCAAATTCCATTCATAATTGAACTGATATCTTTGTATATCCAACTCGAAGGCACTTGAGCTCAGTTTCAATTAGTGCTACCTCACTTACAGGGTATACTCCAGTTGAGCCCACTCTGCCGACTCTTGTTTTTGCCTCTGCTTTGTTAGTTTTTGCTTTGTTTTTGGGCTGAGCTTTGGCTCTGATTGGATTCAATTCGTTTCGAGCCAACGTGACGCAACGCATTGGGATTTGAATTGCATTGATGGATTTTTGGGATTTGGGTTTCGTCTCTGGGCTTTTTTTTTTTTTTTTTTTTTTTCATTGGTTAAAGCAATTTTGTTCTTGTCATACCCTATACTTGGCAGGCCTGTGCCATAAAAACTGAGATTTAGCTGAGAACTATGTCTAGAAATGTGACCAAATATTGAATTGAACTGGTTCTGTTCTAAGTGAACTATGTATTTAGTTTATGCTCCATCGCTGTGTACAATTATTTAATTGTTATTGAATAATACATCATTCCCTGAGCTATAAGTTCTATTTAGTTTATTGTTCATTGTATTATCCGCTGAATTCTGTAATTCCAGTTGTAGTTCCGTTTGCCTTTAGTTCATCAAATGAAATTCGAGAAAATAAATATAAATTTCTATTAGCTCCATTCCGATTTGATAATAAATATAAATATCGTTAATTCTTAACATTTTGCAGAAGCAAATTTCTGGCTTAATGAAAATTTTGCGCAATTTCAACTCTTTGCTAGTGCGAAAATTGCAAGTTTGAAAATTGAATATTCAATAAAAGCTGCGATTAATTTGCGTTTCAAGTGCGCTGGGGCTGATAAAGATTGACTAACTGAAAGTGAAGCTTCAATTCAATTACAAAGGCAGCTGAAATGGTGGAGATGGTGCATGGGGAATGGGGAATGGGAAATACGAATTGGGGATGGGGGCGAGTATGGGAGCTCTTTTGGTCTGAGTGTAATCGAGGGCCAGCTGAGGGTCTCGCAAAGAGCGCCTAATCGAAGCATAAAACGCAAATCGGCGTCTGTTGCGCGATTTTTATGTTCGTAATGCATATTGCGTTTTGTTGTTGTTCACGTTGTCGGTGTGTCTGTGTGTGTGTGTGTGGGTGTTTTGCTTTTTATTGTCTGTTAATATTTAATGCAATTTACGATTCATTTTTTACAACCTCATAACATTGGGTGCCCCCACGGCCGACTGGGGAGCGATTGTTGCTCTTTACACAGAGGACCATGTCTACAGGGGTCGACCGTGACGATGGTGTGGAGAGGGGGGAAGGGGGGGTGGAGGGTAGTAGTATGAGCATGCCAATGTCTAAATCTGTAACGACGAACTCTTGACAGAGCATATTGAGAGCATCACCAACTACATTTTGAAGGTTATGCTGAAGATTTTTAATAGATGCTTCATTGAGCTGTTAAATGAAACTCATTTATGTGGAATGGAATGCGCATTGGCAGTGCGTAAAGTATATTGCCTGATACATTGGTAGACCATGGCAAGAATTTACATTGAAGCATTACTTGGGAGCTGTTCGTATTGAAATTTTGCATGAATAAGCTCGAATGTTCAAGACAAGACCAAAACTCTGGAGAGAGATAAAGGAAGAGAGAGAGATATAAACTTTCTTCAGTAAAGATTTTACGTGTTCCCACTTAGTGATCTTAATCAGAATCACAAGAGAGTTCAACTAATCAACAGAGAGAGTCGAGTGTGGCATTGGAATATGACTCCCATTCTATTCCTTCTAGACAATTAGGTAGACAATCGAGTATTTTTTACCCACTGTTCCCACATCATTATCATGCACATTAATCAGAAAAGAACGAAATTTAACTTCACCTACCTACTAAAATCTCCATGGCCAAAAACTATTTTTGTCAGAAAAAAATACAGCACAAACAACTGCAGCCCCAGCAGCCTAAACTCGAATCCGGAGCTCTGTCAGCAATGCTCGTCGAGTCTACCAACTGCGTTCATCACTTACACATCACGTCAATTCAAATGAAAAGCCCGTTAGATAGCTGCATATCTGTATCTAAGTGCTGCAACTTGCAACACTGTTTTCAAAGCAACTCTGAACCACAGAGTTGCAGGAAAATCTATAATCGAAGCAGGCTTCAGTTTGCTATAAAAGGCCGTGTTCTCAGTGAGAGGCTCAGTCTGCCTCTGTGGCTTGCCCAGAGCAGGCTCAATTTTTTTTTGCATTTTTTTTGGAAATTTTTTTTTTGAAATTTTTTTTTTAGAAATTTTTTTTGATTTTTTTTTTTTTTTTTATTGTTTGCAAGTTCTTTTTTTTGCAGTTTTTGCGCTGATTATTTTAATCAGTAAGTACAAAAACTTCAATGGGTTTGAGGTGGAAGCGTCCACATGAGGTGCTCATTCCCTGACGACAGGATATATATTCCTGTTTCGTCTAACGATTGTAATTTGTCCACACTTGTATTCGTACCTGTGTGAGTCCTCCACAGTGGAGAGAATTACTGGGGAGCTGTGTTAAACACATCGTCTATGCAGGCAATGAGGATTGAGGTGGGAAGTTATAAGACATCCTCATGCCTGGCAACAGGATATATATTCCTGTTTCATCATATGATTGTAATTTGTCCACACTTGATTCGTACTTGTGTGAGTCCTCCACAGTGGAGAGAATTACTTATATTGTTAAACACATCGTCTATGCAGGCAATGAGGATTGAGATGGGAAGTCTTTAAGACATCCTCATCCCTGGCGACTGGATATATCATCCTGCTTTGTTCAACGGAGTTGTTTTTTATAGTTGTGGACGTCTTTCAGTGTCGTCCTTCGGGTGTTGATACCAAAATATTTAATGAAATCACATGTGTGATTCAAAACAACTCTGAACTTCTCAGTGGGAGGCTCAGTCGTCTGCCTCTGTGGCTCGCCCAGAGCAGGCTCAATTTTTTTTTTTTTAATTTTGTTTACTTTTTTTTTTTTTTTTTTTTTTTTTTTTTTTTTTTTTTTTTTTTTTTGCAGTTTTTGTGCTGATTATTTTTAATCATTAAGTACAAAAACTCCAATGGGTTTGAGGTGGAAGGGTCCACATGGGGTGCTCATTCCCTGGCGACAGGATATATATTCCTGTTTCGTCTAACGATTGTAATTTGTCCACACTTGAATTCGTATTTGTGTGAGTCCTCCACAGTGGAGAGAATTACTTAAATTGTTAAACACATCGATTATGCTTGCTATGAGGATTGAGGTGGGAAGAGTTATAAGACATCCTCATCCATGTCGTCCTCGGGTGTTGATAACAAAATATTTAATGCAATCACATGTGTGATCCTTTAGTGTGGGTTTGAGATTTTTTTGTTGTTGTTGTATTTTTGGGTGCTTTGAATATTAAGTGGTGTTTTTTCTTGTGTTTTCTGTTTTTTATTGACTGATATTGCAGCATTTTAGGCGTAGAAGAAAAAGAAGCAGTAGCTGTGGACGTCCTCCAACGTCATCCTCGGGTGTTGACTCGCGTGAAATCACATGAGCGACTCTTCATTCAGGTTATATTGTATACCTTACTGTTGGGCTTTACATTATAGTTTAACAGTTGTTTCTTCCTGAGATATATTTCGATGACGTCCATCCGCAAATATATGTAGCTAAGCTGATGTGTTATGTTAGAAGCATTTAAAGAAACCGCAATTTTCTTTGATATTCGCTTGGATTTTGACTATGTTTGATGAGGATTAAGCTATTATTATCATAATCATCATATGGTGGTTTATATTTGGTTCTCAGTCCCTGGCGATAGGATATTATCCTGATTCGTCCATTGAGCTGTTTTTATAAAGTCGTATTACGAAGGAGGAATACGAATGTTGGACGTTTTTGGTTGATGTATTATGTTATAATATCGCATGGTTTTGTGCCTGGAGCATTCAATGCGAGGGTCGGAGTCCTCATTTGGATTTGAAATATGAGAAGATTTGGATTTGAAATATGAGAAGAGCTTAAATTAGATGATGAAGAGAGTCTGAGAGTTTTTTAGAGGAGGAAGACGAAGAAGAAGAAGAGAGGTTCCAGGTCCCGCTTTACAGCACTGGACGTCTTCCAATGCCATCCTCGGGTGTTGATACCCAAGTATTTAGTGAAATCACATGAGTGATCCATTAGTATGGGTTTAAGAGAAGCTGGATGTATTTTTTTTTATTTGTTGTTTTTTGGTGCTTCAAATGTTAAGTGGTTTCTTGTATAACGTCTGTTTTCTTAATAGTATTCTTCATCTGTTTTCTTTTAAAATCGTCTATTTTTGTGGTGGAAGTATTACAAAAAGTCAGATTACCCACATCTTTCCTGGGCATTGACTTGTAATTCCACTGTTTTAGGCGTAGAAGACGAAGAAGAGGGAGAGACTCCTGATCCCACTTTTCAGCTGTGGACGGCTTTCAATGTCGTCCTGGGCTATTGGCACCAAAATATTTAATGAAATCACATGTGTGATCCTTTAGTGTGGGTTTAAGAGGAGCAGGATTTTTTTGTTTTTGTATTTTTAAATCGTGAATTTCTGTTGAAGTATTAAAAAAAAGTCTGTTTACCCACAACATTCCTGGGCATTGGCTTATATTGCAATATTTTAGGCGTAGAAGAAAAAGAAGCAGTAGCTGTGGACGTCTTCCAACGTCATCCTCAGCTGTTTCTTCCTGAGATATATTTCGAAGACGTCCATCCGCAAATATAGCTAAGCTGGTGTGTTATGGTAGAAGAAACCGCAATTTTTTTTTTTATATTCGCTTGGATTTTGACTATGTTTGATGAGGATTAAGCTATTATTATCATAATCATCATATGATGGTTTATATTTGGTTCTCAGTCCCTGGCGATAGGATATTATCCTGATTCGTCCATTGAGCTGTTTTTATAAAGTCGTATTACGAAGGAGGAATACGAATGTTGGACGTTTTTGGTTGATGTATCGCATGGTTTTGTGCCTGAAGCATTCAATGCGAGGGTCGGAGTCTTCATTTGGATTTTGAAGAGAAAATATGAGAAGAGTTTAAATTAGATGTTGAAGAGAGTTTGAGAGTTTTTAAAGGAGGAAAACGAAGAAGAAGAAGAGAGGTTCCAGGTGCCACTTTACAGCACTGGACGTCTTCCAATGCCATCCTCGGGAGTTGATACCCAAGTATCTAGTGACATCACAGGAGTGATCCTTTAGTGTGGGTTTGAGAGAAGCTGGATGTATTCTTTTTTTTTTTTTATGGTATTTTTCGGTGCTTCGAATGTTAAGTGGTTTCTTGTATAACGTCTGTTTTCTTAATAGTATTCTTCATCTGTTTTCTTTTAAAATCGTCTATTTTTGTGGTGGAAGTATTACAAAAAGTCAGATTACCCACGTCTTTCCTGGGCATTGACTTGTAATTCCACTGTTTTAGGCGTAGAAGACGGAGAAGAAGGAGAGACTCCAGATCCCACTTTTCAGCTGTGGACGGCTTTCAATGTCGTCCTGGGCTATTGGCACCAAAATATTTAATGAAATCACGTGTGATCCTTTAGTGTGGGTTTAAGAGGAGCAGGATTTTTTTGTTTTTGTATTTTTAAATCGTGAATTTCTGTTGAAGTATTAAAAAAAGTCTGTTTACCCACAACATTCCTGGGCATTGGCTTATATTGCAATATTTTAGGCGTAGAAGAAAAAGAAGCAGTAGCTGTGGACGTCTTCCAACGTCATCCTCAGCTGTTTCTTCCTGAGATATATTTCGAAGACGTCCATCCGCAAATATAGCTAAGCTGGTGTGTTATGGTAGAAGAAACCGCAATTTTTTTTTTATATTCGCTTGGATTTTGACTATGTTTGATGAGGATTAAGCTATTATTATCATAATCATCATATGATGGTTTATATTTGGTTCTCAGTCCCTGGCGATAGGATATTATCCTGATTCGTCCATTGAGCTGTTTTTATAAAGTCGTATTACGAAGGAGGAATACGAATGTTGGACGTTTTTGGTTGATGTATCGCATGGTTTTGTGCCTGAAGCATTCAATGCGAGGGTCGGAGTCTTCATTTGGATTTTGAAGAGAAAATATGAGAAGAGTTTAAATTAGATTTTGAAGAGAGTTTGAGAGTTGTTTTAGAGGAGGAAGACGAAGAAGAAGAGAGATTCCTGGTCCCGCTTTACAGCTCTGGACGTCTTCCAATGCCATCCTCGGGAGTTGATACCCAAGTATCTAGTGACATCACAGGAGTGATCCTTTAGTGTGGGTTTGAGAGAAGCTGGATGTATTCTTTTTTTTTTTTATGGTATTTTTCGGTGCTTCGAATGTTAAGTGGTTTCTTGTATAACGTCTGTTTTCTTAATAGTATTCTTCATCTGTTTTCTTTTAAAATCATCTATTTTTGTGGTGGAAGTATTACAAAAAGTCAGATTACCCACGTCTTTCCTGGGCATTGACTTGTAATTCCACTGTTTTAGGCGTAGAAGACGAAGAAGAAGGAGAGACTCCAGATCCCACTTTTCAGCTGTGGACGGCTTTCAATGTCGTCCTGGGCTATTGGCACCAAAATATTTAATGAAATCACGTGTGATCCTTTAGTGTGGGTTTAAGAGGAGCAGGATTTTTTTGTTTTTGTATTTTTAAATCGTGAATTTCTGTTGAAGTATTAAAAAAAGTCTGTTTACCCACAACATTCCTGGGCATTGGCTTATATTGCAATTTTTTAGGCGTAGAAGAAAAAGAAGCAGTAGCTGTGGACGTCTTCCAACGTCATCCTCAGCTGTTTCTTCCTGAGATATATTTCGAAGACGTCCATCCGCAAATATAGCTAAGCTGGTGTGTTATGTTAGAAGAAACCGCAATTTTCTTTGGTATTCGCTTGAAGTCTTATTATGTTTGATGAGGATTAAGCTATTATTATCATAATCATCATATGGTGGTTTATATTTGGTTCTCAGTCCCTGGCGATAGGATATTATCCTGATTCGTCCATTGAGCTGTTTTTATAAAGTCGTATTACGAAAGAGGAATACGAATTTTGGACGTTTTTGGTTGATGTATTATGTTATAATATCGCATGGTTTTGTGCCTGGAGCATTCAATGCGAGGCACGGAGTCTTCATTTGGATTTTAAAGCAGAATTATGAGAAGAGTTTTATTTAGAGAGTTTAAGTTGATACGGAAGTATTCATGCTCTGAAGAATATTTCTGTATTATGTATAATTGATAAACCCAGTTTCCAGTACTTAAGTTTGAAGCTCGAATAAATTTTGTATAAATTCTATTTTATAATGAATAAATAAATGATGTATTTGTTTGAATTGAAACTGTGTTTCCGATTTATGTGTTTAAGTGACATAAAGTTTTCCTTCTAGAGTCGTTGCGAGTAGAGTAAAGTTTGAATTTCAAAACTGTTCCCAGACTCAATGTGATTTAAACAAAAACAGATTCCATCACATTTGCAACACTGAATGAAAAAGTGAAAGTGAAATGCATAAACGTTGTTAATTCTGTCTCTCGAACCAACTCGAGTCATGTTGGGAGCAAACCTAAGTGAGAGGGGCAGCCTAAAATATAAATTTCACATCTGTTCCCAGATTCACTGTGCGATCGTCGTTTATAATTGAAATCTTAACAAAAACTGTGCCCATCACATTTGCAACATTGAAAACGAAAGTGCAATATGCAAGCGGTTTTAACTCTCTTCTCTTCTCCACCCACTCTTTTTGTCGTCTTCCCTTTGTCCTTCTGCCGCCAGGCATGGAGCACTACAATTCGGACTGTGAGCCGGAATATCTGCGCAAACGCGATCATCGCACCGAGGATGCCAGCCAAGCCAGCCAAGAGGTGACCTACGCTCAGCCGCATCAGCGAACCGGCGCAGCCAACGGCGCGGCGGCAGCGCAGTCGCCACTCAAGGTGGCCACCGTCTCGGCGAGCAGCGGCGCCATCAAATATCCCTCGAATGCCAATCTGGGCCTGTTCCCCAACAGCAGCAGCAGCAGCAGCACGACGCTGACTGCGGCGCCGCGCAGTACAAATCCCTTCTTGAACGGCAAGTACGCCGCCGAGGAGTCGCCTCCGGATGCTGGGGACGGCAGCGCCAGGGGCGTGGCGGCAGCAGCTAGCGCCTACTTGCTGCCCGCGTCGGCGTCATCGTCGACAGCGGCGTCGAGCAGTCGCAGCCAGCGCAGCGGTGCAGCGCGCAGCACACTGAATCGATTGAGCGGCATGACGAGCTCCAGCAGCGGCACCTCGGCCCTATCTGTCAATCGCAGCGAACGTGCCCAGACGCCACTACAACAGCAACAGCAACAGCAGCCGCAGCCGCAGCCGCAGCAGCAGCAGCTAACGGCAAAACAATCGCAGCTGCAGCTGTCGTGCGATCTGAATGAATTTGGGGACAACAACAGCAGCGGCGAGTCGGAGCCACCGCCGGAGCCGGCGCCGCCGGAGATACCGCCGCGCACTCAGTCGCTGCTGATGTCCTTGCGCAAGCACTCCGACTACAAGCTCAAGTACGAGGAAAAGGGGGACCAAAAACACGAGGAATTCATACCGACCAGCCAGCTCCAGAAGGGTAAGTGCCAAAGTACCAAAACTTCAAGCTTTTTGTGCCTAACCAAATTTTCCCTGCCAAAGCAAAGGAATTATCTGAAAGCTTTCGTTCAGCTTTTTGTTGGGACAACTTTACAGAACGGACTTAACAGTGACTATTATGACTTTGCTTAACAGAACGTACTTAACATTGCTTGTTAACTTTGACTTTGACCAACAACAGTGTTAGCTGTGTGTTTAACAGCGCTTGACTGAGCTTTTAGAGCTTTTAGATAGTTTAGCTCACACTGAAATTGAATTAGGTTAACAGAGTTTGTCATGTGTATATTATTAATTTTTTATTTCATTTAAATTTAACATTTTTCAAAGAAAAGGTTTTCCAGCTCGAGCTTACTATAAATCAGAAAAATGAGAGCTATTTTTGATAATCCTAATTTAAGAATGCAAATTGCTCTTTATCTCTCTTAATCTCATAAAATATCATACTTTACTTTCGGACTTCGGACATAATTTATTTATATAGGAACATAAAAATACCTGAATATAAAATATAATTATATTTATATTGTATATTACAAATATATTGTAAATTAATTTTATGGCAAATATTTTTTTTTATATTAATTTTTTTTTTTTTTTTATTATTTTAATTTTTAATATGTGCTCAACTGAATTGCAGTTTAATGAGTTTTTATACAATTTCGCTAATTAATAATAATTCCTTGCTCTTCCTCTTCTTTAGATTATATCATCAGCGATAATCTACGCACTGTGGAGCAGCAATTGAAGCCAATTTCTCCAGGCGATTCCCAGGGGTAAGTTTCACTTTCACTTAATACTAATTACTCGGCTTTTAAGTAGGCACCGTCTATTAGTTAGGTATTATATTTAAAGTAGGCATTCAACATACTTTAGCTATATGAATTATGAATATAAATTATACAAACTTAGCTTATATATAGTTAAGTCTAAGGCCAACTAACCAGCGTGGCCAAGCAACCGTGCAAAGCCGCCTAATGCTTTTCCACTGTATTTAAATATATGGAGCTAGCACCCACGCTGTACTCTGTTGTGTGGCTTTTGAATGTTAAGTCGCTGTTAAGAGTGGAAACTCTGTTTGGCTGCGATACCTGAGAGTTGACATAATTCCCTCCACTGACCACAAAACTTGGCAAAAGATTTCTCTGAACTGTGAAGTGTGCGAGGCTGAGAGCCACAACGAACTTCAAATACTCTACAATACACATAACTATATATATGTAAATAGTATCGTTTGCTTTACTATGTTAGCTATGATTTATATGTAGTGGGAGCTTAGATTACATAAAATTTACTCTGGGGATACATAAATAATGAAAAAGACTTCGAATCAACTTATTCATATAGATCAACATCAAAATGCCAAAACAGACTTTTTGATTTTTTATGTTAAACATTTTTATTTACAGATTCTTTAATTATATCCCAATTGTGTCTTAATCGGTTGATTAACAAAATTTTTATCAAGCCAAAGCTTACTGGAGATGAAAACCTGGGAATCTAAATAAACGTTTCTTATTTTTATATATTTTTTATTTTTATATATTTTTATATTGTCTTATTTTGATAATAAATTGTGCAAATCGAATTGATTTTCAATTTGTAAATATCTCAAATGCTTGTTTGTTTATTATTTTTGTTTCTCTCTTTTCTCACAGCTTTCCATTCGATTATCTTTTACTAATACTTGCCAAAAAAAAAAAATTAAAGAGATAAATCTCTTCGGATACTGTGCTCATGCTTCTAATCATAATACAAAATAAAACTGTTCCCACTTTTGAACTTTAAGTATGGTTGCCTTTGATAAGCTGTGTCCACTTACAACTGTTCTCAAAAACGGTTCCCAAATTTGTTCCCAAAAACTGTTCCCATTGCCAAAGTTTCTCTTTTTCTCACCTCACTGTACACTCTTCAGCTCATATTTATAATACCCTGTATATACAGGGTATTATCAATATGAAAGCAAACCTCAATGCTAGGACAAAGGCAAAAGAAGTTGAAGTTCTTACAGAGAGAGAAAGAGAGAGAGAGGGAGATGAGGGAGTTTTGGTATAGCTAACAGGCGCTCGGTCTTCTAGTTGCCAAACCGCCTTCTAGCGAATGTGACGCTCAACAACAACAACAACAACAAGAAGTAAAAGAGGAAGAAGAGGAGACAGTTGCAGCTGAGCTACAATAACAAAGTAAAGCGAGGCTCATGTTAACGGCAATTAAATCCGCAAATGGTTTCGCATTGGCAGCAAAAGCAGCCACTTGGACGCCCACACAGACACACAGAGAGAGAGAGAGAGAGACAGAGAGTGGGTGTGTGCCTATGTATTTATATGTATGTGTATATGTAAGTCTGTGCTTGCTGATTGTATTTGTGTTTATTCGCATCTCCATTGTAATCCTTTGGGCAGCGCACACACACACACACACATAAGAGGAGCGAGAGAGAGAGAGAGTAAGAGTGAGAGATAGAGCGAGCCGAAAAGCCGCAGCGACCCAAAAACTTCAAAATGGAGGAACGTGGAATGACGTAGCCAGCTGCTGCTCCTCCTGCTAGTCGAGCTACTCCTGCCACTGTGTCCCTGCTCCTCCTGGCAGCAACCTATTCCTTCTGCTGGCAGAAGATGTCCGTAGCATTTTGTGGTTTTGTAAGCGGCTTTCGCTTCGCATTTTGTTTGCGCTTCCGCACACATCGGTCACAGCGAAACTGCGGCCTCCGCCTCCACCTCCTGCGCTTTGCCTACTGCTGCTGCTGCTCCTGCTGCTGCTGCTGCCACCTGCTGCGCCGTTTACATGTGTTGCGCTGCAAGCATAATTAAAGAACTCACTTGCAGATTACGTGGTTTTATAGGTGCCCTCCACGGCCCCAGTCTCCTAAAGCGCCGTGCTGCATAGGTATATCTGCGTCTGCTGCTCCTGCTGCTCCTGTTGCTCCTGCTATCTGTGTGTTGTCGTATCCTGTGACTCCATTCACTTACTTTGCTTACTCAAAGGCTTAACGTAAACGTTTCGCAGTTGCACAATTTTCAACGTCAATGCCGCTAATGTACGGCTAATGATTGTTTGGCCACAGGCGACGGGGCGTGGCAGTTGAGAGTCCAGCGCCCAGGAATAAGCTCTGAAGATAAAGCCAACAAGATTATACATCTGGTTAAGCAAGTCCATGTTTGAGTACATCCATTTATAGTACTCAACGGTGTGCATATCTCTATGCTCCTGTCAAACTTAACTAGCGGTTTAACGTGAGCTGGCCCTACTCTCCGATTACTCATTCATTAAAGTGAATGAAGGTATATTAGATTTTTAAAATGACTTTCCGAGAATTTCAGCTATTGTGGCTTGAGGCAGAAATTTGGAATTATATTCGTATGCTCTCTCATTTCAAAGAGTGTATAGAGTTTCTCCATAAGTGAGTGGCAAATCGGAAAGTACTCCTTTTGATATCATAGAAGTCCTACGTGAAGAGAAGTAACACGATATATATGTGTATCGGGTTAACAAATGAAGTTTAAAAAGATATGGATATATCAGAACCTCAAGAGAGGTGACAGCAAAAACTTAAAATTGTATATTCGATGTACTATTGACCTCCCCTATTAATAGCCCAGAAATAATATTTACGCCTCTTTTGGGGCCTCTCATATAAAAAATACCCTGTAATTTTCACTTTTTTTGAACGTAAGGTTCAAAACCTTCTAGATACCTTACCCTAAACTCCCTTTAGAGATAGACTTTATCTTACCTAAATGCTTGTCAGGTAATTTAACCTGCTGTTAGGTAGAGGAAACCCAAAAAAGTCATTGCTAAATAGATTGAAATTGAAATAATGCTTAAGAAGAATATCATCAATGCCGTTAGAAAAGAAACTACCCGCAACAAATCTATATTTGCTACCCATCTATAGAAGTATAAGAAATGTTTACACTGGTCTAGCCTATGTGGATCAAAAGATATCTCGGAACTAGTTCAATTGAATGTGAAGGCAAATTTAAGTAGGTCGAGTCAACGAGCTGTCTCTGAATGTCGAGAAATGTCTGCAAAATTAAGACTATCTAAATCAAAAGATATGGGAACAACATACACACAAGACAATTTCTGCGCACATCTGCCCGGAACTAGTTCAATTGACTGTTTAGCCAAATCTAAGTCAGAAGTAGAGTCAATGAACTATTACAGAATGTTGGGGAATGTCTGGTCAAGGCAGAGCTATCAACTTGAATCGTTGCAGGTGCCACAGCTGAACGTCAGCCAAGCAGGGGTCGCTGGGCTTTGGGCAGGATGTGTTAAGGACATGCCTAAGATTTCGATTGACAGCGCTGCTAAAACTAAGCACACAGCTTCAACTGAGTTGCTGTTGTTGTTGTTGTTGTTGTTGTTGTTGTTGTTGTCGGCCGTGTCGTTGACAGTCGTCAGGCGCAGCTACTTAGACGGACATAAAATTATGATTACAGCAAAATACCACATGTCACATGATATGAAGCACAATCATAGCCAAAGAGATAGATATATGTACATACATACATATATACATCTGTATATGCTATGCTATATATATATCTACAATATTCGCTAGTCGGAAATGGGCAAACGGCGCTAAAGCCCAACCGCATGCAGTCAATAACCGAGCCTCAGACTAACGACTAACGACCATCGTCATGGATTACGCCAAGAGGAATATAGAAAAGACGCAAAGGGCGGACACGCTCGACGAACAGTTATGCTGCAGAGCTGAGGCTGCGCTCAGAAAAATGAAATAATTTTGTGTAAAAGTATGAAAATTATATGGATCTCTATTAAGGATATGTGTTGAGTATATTGAAAAAACTCTAAATATGGGAAAAAAACGAGAGAGAGGGAGGGAGAAAGAGAGAGTGAGAGAGAGAGAACGATTATAGACTATACTTACCAAATTAGCTGTCTCTAAGTCCAGCAATCATCGAGTTCACATAGATAGTTGAGTACAATAAATGGTATATTATAATGTTACAATCAAGACAAGATACAAATATCCAATAATATGTTTCCAGCTCTAATATCTATTCAGTTCACTTGGATAGTTGTGAATAGAGCCAACGAGTTCACTTGGATTCCTGACTATATTTGGTTAACTTTTTATGGAAGAAAAGTATTCATATATCAACTTTCCATAAGGGATGTAAAATTGTGTATGTATTATAATATACATACTGGCGGCCAATGTATATGAAGTATTTCATATATGGATAGACATACATATATAAGGCAAATATATTCTATGCCTTACATATATTTCAACATCTACCCGACCTTATTGAAAACCCCTATACATCTACATAGAGAGATATACAGATTTTTTCTCCCTACAAATGGAGAGCATTATACGAGCCATATATATTTGTGTACATCTATATCCACATAGATAAGTATATAAATATTTTCTCTCTCCACAAATAGAGAGCCTTACATGAGGCATATTTCATGCCCATAGCTGCATCTACATAGAGATAAACTAAAGTAAAAATTTTTTCAATTTGATAAACAAAATACAATAAGCAAATGAAACACAAAAAGCTTTCTGATGCAACCACATCATGTGCAAGCTACCCGCTCGGCTGCCTCTGCTCCGTCTACGGGGTATTTAAAGTATAACAAAAATGAAAGAGCGCAAAAGATACGTAAAGTAATTCATTACAATAAGCTCACGAATATGCCATAAAAATCGCGTGCGCTCGCCTCGAAAAAGGACATTCACAGTGGTCGAGAGAGAGTGTGAGAGAGAGAGAGAGAGATAGTGCCGAGTAGAGTG